TTCGCCAAATATTGACGGATATCCATACTTTTTTCTTTGTTGTGTTCCTTGTCACTCCAGCTTTTGGAAAATAAAAGTCTAAAACAGTAATATCTTATATAGACTTTCTTATCAACTGGTGACATCTGGAAAAAGAAATGGGTACACTCAATTGTGAAATATCTGTATTTTTATTTGTTTATTTGCACCAGTGTTCTAGCCAGCCTGAATTTTTTTTCTGTTATCTCAATTTTCTTGACACAACATCATGTTGACTGCCAAAGGCACATACTAGGGCAGTTTGAGGGAGGGACATGCCCCCCTGGAACACATATTGTGTTCGAAATACCTGTCTGCAGTCTGCAATTGCAGATAGATTTTCAAGATTGCAGAAGAAAAATTTATACAATCTGCAATTTTGCAGAAGGAAAAATTGGCACTTGGGATTTGGTGCTCTTGGCCCCAAGGACAGACAACACTTATAAGCTCCTGTTCTGAAACAACAGGAGCTTCTTCACTAATTTACATCAACCTTGTCTTGACTTGTTTATCTTTTGTTTCCTTGTGGACTTCAAAAAATTTGTTTTCACTAATTTGCATATCAATCAATAGTTCATGCTTATAAACTTGCAAGATTGTAGTATGGAGGCTTGTGTATTTGCAGAAAGTATTTCCAAATTGCAGAACAAAATTTTGACTCTTCTGCAATATTGCAGAGCACTGAAAAAAAGTATTTCGACCACTGAGTCATTGAAATCTTACCTGAAATCTGACCATCTATTACAGTAATTTAAATAAAATGCTATTTCCCACATTTTGGGTGGTAAATTTGGCTGGTGGACTAAGCTTACTAAGAGTTTAATAACATCTCTTTCCATGTCTTTAAACTTCGATAAAAGATCTAAAAAGTAAGATGATCATAGTTTGGGCAAAATTTCTGTCCATCATGAGTGGCAAAATTCCATCAAGTAATGGAAAAACAGACAAAAAATACTGGTTTTTACAGGCTGCAGTTCGAACAACTCAGGCACAACAATATTGACAGCTCACACTCACAGTACCTAGTTTTACAGGCCAGGTGATTTATGGGTACAACACAACCACAATGTTTACAAAGTACAGCGGCTCAACACTGTACCTCTGACAACATTGGGTATACAGTCCAAACCTCCCAGGGGAAAAGAAGAAACCTTCCCTGAGCTCAATAACATGTAACAGTTACATGTAGTAACAAACATTTCATATCATAGCTGGAAAAACATGTAAGTGCACTTCGGCAGAATGTAAGTTGTGCCTGTGCGAAACCTGTAATGCACAATGTATTGTGCATAGCACTTCATTGGAATGTCTGTGCATTTTAGGATGATAGTTTTCAAATGTTGTGTCAGAAAAGATATTCTAGGCAACATTAGCAACATTCTGATTCAACATTCACCAAACATCAAACAAAATCCTTGAAAAATCTGGTTTTTGCCTAGGTGCAGTACATTCTGCCGATGTGCTGTTAAGTACAGACTTAAAAGCTAAGAATCTGTTAGGACAGCTGGTTAAGGTGTTGAAACACCAGTAGCCTTGTCTATGGAAAGAATCCTTGACATACAAACAACAAGTTGTACACGTGTTATGGGGAAGCAGAATTCGTGCCAGATGTTTGAAACTTGACCCTGGACCCATTCCATAAACGCAAATCCACCTCTATTAGCAAGAGCATTTTCATACATGAGATCCAGCCTGTAAGGTGTAATCTTTGACAGCATTTGGCTTGGGGGCACAGATTAAGTATTGCATTAGTGCATAGACAAAGTTGTTTGAAGTGCAAGCATTTTAACCTTCTCCTTGCTGTCAGACCAAATAAACAATAGAGAACTTTCAGTGTGCCAAAGGTTAACTCAATAATAAGCCAGTTCTTCCCACACTGGGATATAGGAACAACTTTCCCTTAGGTCAGGGACAACACAAACCAGGCCAAGTAAACATATAAAAACCAGATGTTTTGCTGCAGTACCAAAGAAAGTTGCCAGGAGTTCCCCAGACCTATCCACGTATCAAATATCATTACAATGAATCCATCCTTCTCAAGTTACACTGACCACATATGAGGAAACACACACACAAACACAGACAGACCCAAAACAATACCTCCATTTTCTATGGAGGTAAAAAGTAGCTGTGTGGGAGAATATAGATTAAACTTTGACAGAATCTGAAAACTGTTACAGTTTCGAACAAACAAAACTGCCCAGTAGACAGTACTATTTGAAGTAAGCCAGGTGAAACGCAAGCTTTTGTTCCGCTATCTAGCCAGAGGGCTTTCTGTCTCACCTGAGTGAAAACTAATTGTCCTGAAAATCATTCAAGCTTCCTAACTAAACCTCAAACTCACACTCACTCACTCACTGTCTGGTTTATCAAAACACATTGAAAAGTTTGAGGCAACAATACGAGGGAGAAAATTCACTCTCCCAAGGCGAATCATGAAAATGTACCTGTTTCTTATATTTCTAGTCTTCTGGGCAGCTGCCATGTAATCTTGCGATGCATGGATCGTACTTCCAGAAATCCCTTTAAAAATCCTTGATCCAGATGCTTTGTACAAATGTATATTCTTTTTTTAAATCTGGCAAAGCCTAATCCCACCCATTTGCAACGATTATGTTGAGGCTTCTGTTTATCAGCATATTATTATTAAAGAGTTTTCTGAACAAAAGTTGATATGCTGAAGACTATTATGATGGTCGGTGAGTTTTTGGCTTTGCCAGATTCATATGCTCACGTACATGTACAGCTGCTTAAGGATAAAAATCATGGCATTAATTTAGATGAAACCATAATTTGCTTGGGAGAAGTACAAGTATGAAAAAAACAAACGAGAACCCCTCTCTAACCTGTCTATTGCAGCTGCACAGCCTCTTCTGACTGGACCCAAGAACACTTCTTCAGTTCTTGAACACAATGAATATGTAACACACCTCCTTCCTTACCTCTCTGATACACCTGTATTAACAGAACCTCACCTGATTTACATGTGGTCACACTGTGGATCTTGTATCCTATATTCTCAGGTTAAATTTACCATTCAAAAAACGGTACTCATACTAGTCATAGGCTATCAAGAACAGGGCTCGAAATACAGTATCCCTTACATATGCAGGTTAGTGCAGGTAAAATTGGGCTGTGTACAGTACAGTATGTATTTCTGATATCTACCTACACTGGTCCTTGTAATGGATGTATATGCAAATGTAGGTGTATGCGGTATGTTTTTATTTGCGACATTAACTGAAACCACCTATGAGGTATACTGAAGAGAAATAGTTGCATTAATTGGTTTCTGAGCAGTTTTTAGTTCGATCCTTTACTTTCTAAATTGTGAATAGACACTGGTACATGTAAAATCTGTCTGGTACAAGTAATTTTCAATCTTATCTACACCAGTGCATGTACTCAGAAGAAAAGGATTTTAAGCCCTGAAGTCCATAATGCAAGCTACTAATATGTGCAATACAGGAAATTAAAATGTGACATTTGATACTGGTCAACAACAGATCCTCTCTACTCACTGTTACCAATGAGCTTATATAAAACTGATCACTTGAGCTTTTATTTTAAGCTCCTTTTTTTTATATAATCAGCAAAATATAGAGTTACATCAAGGAGGTTCAAAATAAAACCTCATTGGTAATATCAAAACTGGACACCTTCCTCTAGAAATACTGCGTAACAAAATTGTCAAACAGATGTTTCTTGCTCAATCGTGCATCAAATAATGAAGCGTTTTCACAAGATTGAACATGGTATTGTTCTAATGGCATTGTTCGAACTCTCTGTGGGTATCCCATTATTTTCATCAAATCAATTAGATCATCCATTGTGAAGGCCATTGAAGACAGGACACAACTGGAAGTCATCTGTTACCAGTGACACGTTAACTGTCCTGCTAATAAGGTAATTAGCAGCTCCCCATTGTGAGAAAGCCTGAGGCCCCAAAACCCGGAGCTGCAGGTGACAAATGAATGGACATACCAAACAACATCATAAATCATAAGACCTTGGTAGCATCAAGGAGGTTCTTTTTGGACCCCCTTGGTAGCTAGTGTGTTACGCCGAAGGGCGGTTATACCGGCTGTACAGCTACAGATACAGAATGTAAAATAATACTGTATTTTGAAGTAGCTTCTGACGACAGTCTAAGAGTAAGACTCTAAGTGTAAACACTACTTAATACGTGACTCTCATTTGCATTTATGTGAAACATCAAGACTTTGCACACACAGTACATTACAATTGACTGTTATCTCCAAGCAGATGTTGGAAGCCAAAACGTCTTTATAAGTGTCCGGAAGAGAGCCGTTTGTAACAACACTGGGTATCTAGAAAACGTAACAATTTATCCTTCAATTTATAGTTCGATTTATAGTTCAAGCATTCGTTTGGCATTCTAAACGTTTTTGATATCTGCACGCAAGTGGTGCAGGAGAATTATATAGCCAAGCACCAAGCACCACATACTGTACATGTGAAACTGTGGCATGTGGCTAGCTAGTGAGGTCCCGTTATGAATTTTGGCAAAGCATAATTACTTAGTAGTATGTTACATGCAGCTGTTCTCACAACTATGGAGACACGTAAGCAACAGACTTTACACTAAACGGTGTTTTGTTGAGATTTTAATCTAAGCAAAACAAAACGTTACGGTTAACCGGCCGGATCTCTTTGAGACCAGTTATCGCAGTAGCACTTTCATTTTTTTCCCCAAAGCAAACAGGTCATGATTTTGCGGCGGTAGTTCCGTATACGTAAGCATGCCGATACTGATAATCTACAGAAAGCATCTAGCTTGCCCACGTTTATACGTTTACAACTGGCCATGGAAATTACGATCGCAAACCGACACTGGTTGTGGAGGACTAAAAACAATTTATTATTACAAATCAAGGATGCATGTCTTGCTCAGTTGCTGCACACACACACTTTGTACAACAAGCAACCGTTATACAGATGGTCAGCGACATTCAACCTACCCAGAGAGCCACCGTTTCCTTGCCTGCCTTCAGTCAGCTGCAGCCGAGAAGCTGTGGTGAGTCGGAAGGGTTGACCATCGCGGTTTTCTTGTAGAACTTGAAGAGATAGGGCTGAGCTTGGCAGAGAGGCGGCCGATCTCGGTCTCCCTCCTCTCACCTACTTCCGCTGATGCTGAGAGTGCAGCGGAAGGGGAGGGGATGCTGGGTAAAATGTTAGGGGGAGTTCCGTTGTATCCGGGTGACGTCGGACGTCACGTCACGTAAATCGATATGTATAACAGTATAATCTGGTCCTCATTGACTTCGAATTTCGCTATTGACAGACACAGAGGAAACCAACTTAACGGCATAATTCTTTTCACATCGCACTAAGAGGATAAAATCCTGTTTCATTTTAATTCATTGGCCATTTACATTTATGACCGTTTATTCACGCGCCACGTTAGTTTATTCACGCGCATTTTTTTCAGGCGACGTTTATGAACATAAGAAATAAAGGGATCACCTAAAATTGCATGGTAAAGACAATGACAATACATCATGTATAGATATAATGCTAACAACACACACGCAAGAATTTAACACTGATGAAATTTGAGATCCTTCATTTGTTCCTATAGTAAATATTGACAATATCAAATTTCAACCACTACACTAATGGCTAACGTTACAAACTCGGATACGTATAACATTTAGTGTCCGTGCAGTGTTTCTTCGAATTTCAGCAGTGTTTCAGTTTGTCTATAATCGCTATACTACACCTAGTATAGTGTTTGGTGTTGTATATGGAACTTATGAAGAAAAAAAGCAAATACTTCTCATTGCATAAGTACGCCATTATAACCTTTTTTTTTATAAGGTGCCTTTATTTGTGCTCTTCAATGGACGAGGTAGGTGCGCGTGTTACTTGTACTAATATCATATTCGACTTTCGGATGATATGAAAGAGCGCATCCCATGAGTCCCCCTAGCGACTATCATCAGGTAGCATCTCTAGATCTTCGCCGCGCGCACGCGAATGTTGGTAAACTCTTTTCAATGACACTGGTGAAATTATTATTACACACCAATGCTGTGCCTGTTTATTATACTAGTATTATAAATACGTTTCGTTCTTTATGATGCACTTATCATGCATATTAATTTTTCACAGATTAATTTTTCAGGATTGTCCACTGTCCTTTCATTGCAAAAGATTTGTCCCGAGGCAAGGTTTAGTATCAGATGTAGCAGTATTTTTTGCTCGATGCAGATCGCCTTGAGCCCAAGGCCGATCGCTGGAGCCCAGCTGTGATGCCACATGGTTTTTGAAAACAACAACATCATGTGGTAATTTGCATATAGCTAAGACTCATGTTGCCAGGTGAAAGGTCAAGCAAGGGTGTGATGTGTCCACCAGGTAAAGAAATAGTGCGCTGATTCACAAGGATAGCGAAGGCCTAACTCTCTACAGAAGTATACATCTTACACCTTCTTGATAGGAAATTATCTTTTCTAATAGATTTTTCTTCAATATTTCCGGAAATATGGCTTAAAAATGAAGTAAAATGTCGTTTCCTGCGCGTACCAATACACGTGGCAGCTCGTGGTGTGACCGCGTGGCGATGTTTGGAATGATCGAAAGGAGTCTTGGGTAACTGATAGTGGACAATTTGTTTTAAAATGCCGTATTATTGCTGATATAAATCACTATATCAAAATTATCGTATTTTTTAATCCTTCTATATATCTAGTAGTGATACTTAAGGGATTCATGTGAAGTAGTATCTGTTTATATCTTGTTAAATATATACAACACCCCCACAAAATTCTACAAGTGGACAATTCCTACGGCCGCCATATGAGAAGACTGGAAAAGGGACGACTGATCGAAGGGCTTCACCGAAAAATTCTGTCAAAATGAGCGACGACGAGAGGGATCTGGACGTGGATAGCGACGTAAGGACGTATCCTAACTGGTGTTTGGATTTTTAATCCCAAAGGCGCCCAGCTTGCTCGGATACGGGTGTTAAGGTGGTGTTTTTGTTTCAGGATGATGGCGCTGGTGACACGGGAGGCGGTGAGCGGAGCGGCATGACAGCGGTGGGTTGTTTTGCTTGTCACGTGGACTGAGACCTGCGTGCTGCTGAGGTCCCGAGCACGTAAACATGTCAGACAGTGTTCTGTTGCCTGGAGTTGTTCAGAGATCTCACCAAAACCTCTGTTCAAAACGCTTATTTTACTAACATAGTACATGCGTTTGGGTACGATGGTGAACACAACGAGCTCGTTAACGTTTATTTTGGTGTGCGCCAAATTTTACCGGTCAGGGAGTCTGTCTGCACTACCCTCCTTTTCGGACCTTGGTCTCCGTCGACTGGTCACGCAAATCCAGCCAAGCAGTGACCGATGACATGTCAAAACACGCCCAGAACAGGGCTATTCAGTACTGATCTCAGCTAAAACCTGCGGATGTGAGCACACATCCACGCACTCCTACGCGGAATTAACGTTATAATAAATTTGTGCGGCACGAATAATTTTGAGGTGGAAGTTTTTCGTGAGACAGGGGACTTCCGTTCAATTAAAATTTCGTGGGGATGTCTCACTTCAGTTGAATCAGCAAGCAGGGAAATTACTAGTATAAACGAGGTTTAAAGCTACTGAACCAGTTGGTCCATATGTGGCTTACTAACTAAACAAACGTTTTAAGTTGTTTTCTTCTTGAGTTTAGATGTTTAACATGTTTATAGGGGTGTAATATTTGTAAACGATGACATCATAACAACATATCAATGATCTACCTTTTAAAGTTTATGCCTTAGTTAAACTGTATTTATATTGACTACTACAATTTCGAATGTAGTATCATCCGTATGGTGATGATTACAGCATTTTTACATGTCATTGTTGTGATATATGGCAAGTTTGAATTTCACAGAGAACCATTAAAACGAATATAATGATGTATTAGGGGCTTTGCAGGTATTTCTGATGTCTACCTGTACTGGGCCATGTACTGGGTTTATATTAGCATTAGTACATTAAGGAGTATGTGGATTTTCATTGACTGTTATCACCTATGAAGTTAAGAAGAGAAATGACAATGGTTTCTAAACAGCTTTAGCATGGTTACCCATTACGCTCATAAGAATTTAGTACATTACTATCATTAGATTAGTACAAAGTACAACATACAAATCAATGGGTTGCATTGTCTTTTTATGACACCCATAAAAAGATAATGCAAAATGATACAAATATTAGAAATATAAATATAGATAGATCGTTGTGTTACATAAGAATATAAATCAATATAAATGCCAAACTGGTCAGAACATGTGTCAAAATGAGTACCAGTACTATGCTGCACATGACAAACTGACATCATGAACAAGATTATTAATATACAGGTGAAGGCATAAACAAGGTATCAAACTCGGGTGAAATATTTGTCCCTTCCCCACAAGCAAACAGAAAACGGTCCTGGAGTCAGCCCTCGTCCTGATGCACTTTTTACACTGTTATTCAACTGTACTTCTTGGGTTACTTCAACCGAAATCCTTAGAAGAAAATATGAAAAAAAGAGAATCCCTAAACCTGACAACCCTAATTTTTTTTTTAGGACGGAAAACGGAAACACAACACATTTTTTCCATGGCCTAAGACTGTGTTGTTTTTCTGTCTTTTTGCTAACCTTCATGCTTGTTGTTTTGTGTGTGCACCGCATACTGACTACATTTCTTGTTCCCTTCCAGGCGGACAAAAGGGCACACCACAATGCACTTGAGAGGCAAAGAAGGGACCACATAAAAACAGTTTCAGTAGCCTTAGAGATGCCGTACCAGCTCTGCAGGGAGAAAAGGTCTGATATGTAAATGAAGACAGCCCTTTGAATAGGGAAACATGATCCTTTGATTCTCTCCCTTATCTAGCTAAGTCTGTCTGCTCCATTCTCCTCAGATATCTCCTGTACAAGTTTGCTCTTTGGATTAATGCCTTTGTAATGGAGAATTAAAGCTAATATATGGTTATCTTAGCCTGGAAGGTATAGCTAGTAAAAGTAGTCTTGCAATAGCCTCTTAGTCTACCAAGCTTCAGAAGCGGCTGGAAAGAGTAGAAATTGACTGAATAGACAGGTAACATGCTAGGTGAGTTGGTCCGCTTTAGGAGTAGATTTGCTGCTCCAGAATGTACTCCTTTGGTGGACCAACTCCACTGATATGTTACCTGTCTATTTGGCTAATTTCTAGTCTTTATAGCTCTCTCTGAAGCCTGCTAGAGGCTAATTTTGCCACTGAAGCTGCTGGTTCTTTACATATTTGCCGTACTCCCAAGGGGGGGGATGTGGTGTGTTCAGTTTCCTTTGTCTTACCAGGTTTGTACACAAATTTTGTAGACAAATATGTGGTCTTCTGGGTATCAGGTTGTGATTATGTATGTAAATGCACTAAGGCTTGGGCTCTTTCTTCTCGTTTGCATGCAGTAGTAGCAACAGTCACATTTCTCTGCTGTCTTGCTCAGTTTCATTGCTAAGATTTGTTTCATACTGCCTGCACAGCATATCAGCAGAACATACTGCGCTTACAGAACATACCCGCTACGTATTGTGCATAGTACTTTGGAAGAACTTCTCATTTAAGGTCGTATTCGCATATTTAAGGACGTCATTTCGACAAGTCTTCTGTCGGAAAAGGTATCAACTGCAACAGGCAAAATTCTAATGCAACGCTGATCAAACATCCTACGAATACCGTGAAAAATTTGGGTTTTGGATATGCGCAGTACGTTCTACTACATGCTTGTCTGCAGCATGTGCAAGATTTCGATACCAACGACTAGATTTTGGAGTTGTAGTTTACTGGTATTTCTAAAAAAACACCAGGGTTAGATAGCTATGATAAGAACTGTTGAAAAACAGACCAGGAATGTGCTACTCAACAATATGACAACTATTTACATCAATTTGCACTTCTTGCTCAGGATGCTGCAGGGCAGAATGCGACAAAACAAAAGGTGATGAAATCATCTTTAAGGACTTTTTTTTCTCCTACCCAAAGTATTTTTGTAGCGTAAGACTAATCTCTGTGTAAATTTTCAGCAAGCATTGATTTGCTAATATTTGTTTCATGATGAGGTAGCACCAATAACTAAACTTAATGCTAGTGATTACTTACATGTAGCCTGCAAAATAATCTTTTAGTTTTAATGTTGGGTAAGTGTTATATCTATAGCCGAGGTATGGATAAAAAATTGCTAATGTGAGAGCAGCTCAAAAAGTCCCCTGCATGACACAAGTCAGGTGCATATATATAATATGAACTACCTGGATGGTCTGATGCCCTTTTCAAAGCATCCTCGGCAGGAAGTTGCTCTTTGTTAGCCTCTACCAGGCTTCTGAAGTGGCTGGAAAGAGTAGAAACTGGTTGGAAAGAGTAGAAACTGGACCAACTCCCCTGGCATGTTAATCTGTCTATTTGGCCAATTTCTACTGTTTTTCGGCCACCTCTGAAGCCTGTTAGAGTTGCTCTGGGTCCTTGTGTTCATGATTTGTCTCTCAGCAGGCATCAAGAGCACAGATACTGAACAAAGCCACAGATTACATCCAGTACATGCGGCGCAAGAACCAGACACACCAGCAGGACATAGACGACTTAAAGAAACAGAATGCACTTCTGGACCAGCAAGGTATATATAGGGTGTTAGGAGAATTTAATACCTATTGGAAAGAGCTCTAACTGTCTGTAAGCCAATGCCATGAGTGTAGTGATGTACACAGTCTTGTTGCTTGCTACAACTGATCTTAATCTTGAGTGACTTGACAGGCTCTTGGATCTGTCCTTTGCTTCTCATGGTTCACAGTCTCTCATTTTACCTCATGTGGACAAGACTAGACGTGTATTAGTCTAAAACACTTTGCTACACTATTGTATATATGTTAAAATAAGGACGTAGGCTCGTGTAACACTAACATTACAATTCAATTCCAAAAATAATTCCATCTGGCCTGTAGAACATAAGATATGATAGTTTTCTTTTTACACAGAATCGTAATGATGTAAAGACTCACTGCTTACATGTCAATGCCTATCAGACACCTTCCTCAGCCAATGTAGGTGGCACTTTTGTGGCAAGTAGTCATTGAACAAATATTGTACCTCTGGGTTTCTTGAATAGTCATGCCATTCTCATCTTTTCTTTCCGCAGTCCGTGCCTTGGAGAAAGCACGTGCGACGGGCAACCTCTCCAGCGCGCTGCTGAACGACGCCACCTCCCTGGGACTGAAAACCAGATCAGGGTCGGACAGTTCCGACTCGGACGACACCAACACGCACACTCAGGGACAGCGGAAACGGCTCAAAACAGACAACAAGAAAAGCTGATATAGAGTGCCAAGTTATACGTCCTAAATATTAGTAATAATAGAAAACTTCCACCAAGCTAGCATCCTTAGCTTAGTCTTCAGCATTTAGAAAGCATGCCGCTTGTATATCTAGCATTGTATTGAGTGTACATAAGAGGTGAGGTACGATAAGTGTAGCTTGAGCTTTCTGTACTTGACTTATGACGTGAAAAAAAGCGACACATCCTAGTACTATTGTTAGCTACCTGATTGCTTGTGTTTCTTAAAAAGATGTCTTAGCATGTATAGGGTTAGACAAGGGTCTGTCAGGAGTAAAGAAAAGAAAAAGGTAACTGATTATGCACAGTCGGTATGGGTTTTTTTGTCATGTTACCTTCGATGATTGCAGCAAAGTCTTCAGATTCAGAACCAAGCTTTTTGCACGTCACGATCACAAACACTAATGACCAGAAGTGTGTGTTGTGAATTTGTCTTTTTGTGGGATAATTAAACCTGGTATTCTAATGAATAAAGTGGTGATGTTCAACGTCATTGCTGACTGCACTACAGTGTTCTAGCTAGCCTTGATTTTATTTTTCTGTCATCTCAATTTTAAAGAAACCTTGTAAAGCACCTAGTGGGGTCTGGGGGCATGCTCCCCAGGGAAAATGTTGAATTCTCAACTCTCTGAAATGCTATTACCTGCATTTTGAGGGGCAAATTTTTCTGGTAGACTAGCTTAGTTTAACGACATCTCTTTCCATATCTTTACACACCAATTTTTTTGTCCATCAAAGACGACAGATTAGGTACACTTTCTGTCCATCATGAGCAACAAAATGCCATCAAATGAGGAAAGATGGCTGGCTAGAACACTGCTGTACTATCATGTCCTTGTTAGCATGTTAATCTGGCGTAAGCTAGTCAGTCCGATTACAAAGTAGGAGTTAATGAATTGTAAATCAGAGAGAAGTGATGCAGAATCAGTTATTTCATTGAGTTTAAGTAATCATGGTTACTTCCTCAGACAGCTAGGTATGTACAAAAAATATTCCCCATCCAAATGACCAAGTCTTCGTGATGCACCAGCCATTGTCTTATGAAGATAGTTCGCAGATTGGAAAAGTTACAGAAAGGTTATACTTAGATCCTTAAAGATGACACATTAGGAGGTAGAAGTCAGCATAGACTGGTGTATCAGTACTTCTTGTGCAGCTATCTCCTGTGGGGAAATGACACTGCAGGGCTGGAAATATTCATTTGAGCTGTTACCTGCACCAGTGCAGGTATGCAAAAGAAAGTATTTCCAGCCCTGCACTGTTTCTGCTCACCAATGTCAGTGGGTATTACCCCCATCAACTCTTTTTGTCCCAAGTTTGCCCACTTGGTGTAGTGATGGGTTGGAACAGTTCATTAGCTCTTTCAATAGAATGTCCTTGATTAGCTATACAGAAACTAGCTTCTGCAGACTTTCTAATGACCAGTGTTTGTTTTATGCGAGTATGGCAGATTTGGGAAGAGCAGATACAGCTTTCCCCGATATAGCCCTCCCCACATACACAACTCTCCCCTCCAAAAAGAAACTGCCACACTCTAGCCGTATTTGCAAACGCTGGCCTCCAGAAAGTCTGCGCAGGAGGCTATACAGAATAGAAGCCACCAGGCTTAACAGTCCAGCAGTCACCCTCTCTACCTAAACTGCTGGGCTTCCTTGTTGTTTAGTGTGAATATTCTAACTCAGTCAGGTGAAAGCACAGGTGTGACCACAAATAACCGAATGTATTATGTAGCAAGTTTAACCAACCCAAGAAATTGGACTTACCCAAATCTTCACGAGTACAACTCCAGTCTTTTCATGGAATGAGCAATCCAGTTTCTTGTGTTGGAAATTACAGTTTAAAACTTACTTCATAATGACTTCTACCAACACACATGAACTTTCAGTATGAATGAATGTAATTGTAAGGCAAATATTGTAAAGGTACAAATGTACATGTAGGTCTCTGCTGCAGTGTGAGGTTTATTATTGGTTTGTGGTGAGGTTAGAAGAGAGTAGAAATATCCTGAAGACTCGAAGGGTCCATCATAACAAAGGTGGTGTGTATATTAGCAATAAAGCTACCTTTCACCCCGCAACGTTGGCTATCTTGTCTTGATCTTTGGTGTCAAGGGTACTTGCAAACATCTAAACATGGAAAAGCTTGCATTTTGCGATGTAATTTTTCACAAATCCTCACTAAACTTTTAAAGATTTAGAACGTCAGAGGTTCTGTTTACTACGAACACCATGTCCTATGTCCTATGCGTGAAATTCTATCTTAAAGCACGTTTGTGAACGTCAAAGGTCTGATACTTCATAAATGGAACCTTTACACACTCATGGAGGTACAATGTAGAAGGGACACTTCTACCTAATCTCTAAGCAGATGCAGTGGGGCAAGGACACTTTACGTTGTATCCATTGACCGCTACATGGGGCGAATGTTGGATACAGGAGGCCAATGGATACATGCAGGCGGCCAACATTAAGACCCCTTGCCCCACTGAATCTGCTTGGAGATTAACTTTTTACCTCCATGACATGCGAGACGCGTGGGCGCCATGTTTAATGACTAATACGATAATCTTACAAATAATGAGCAGTGATCATTAAGCAGATAGTGCTCCAATGTGAAGTACCATGAAATAGTAAATTGCAGACACAGTTCTGTTTTAGGCGTATTTATCAGGATTTCTTTTTTCATACTAAAATTTTGTTAGACCAGTGTTTGATGTCTTATTGGGCACTGACTTGCTAATTTGAATACTGTCTTCCGAAAAAGTAAAAAAAAAAACATGCCAAAAATAACCCCAAACCCCAACCTCTGCTTGGAGAGTAGTGTTTGATGGCATATTGGACACTGACTTGCTAATTTGAATACTGTCTTTCAGCCACCAAAACATCTGCTAGATGATTATATTCTTCATATCACTTCTATTTGTACCGGGGTTCTTTTGACTAGGTTAAAGCCTTTCTAGCAGAAAACCATGTTTCTCTGATGGAATATTCTGCCTCTAAAATATTGATGCCTCTGTATTCTCCATGGGGCAATTCAACCATCTAGATGTTTGGCCTTGATGAGCTGCAGACCATTATGTGTAGACAATTTCTTTCCTCTTGAGGTGTAGAAGGGTTATTAAGCCATGGAAAGCACATTCTATGGATGATATCCTTGGCTAGGTCCAAGTCTGAGAGCACCTAAAAGAGACAGTGTATTTCACATGTCCACTTAATCTGTGATTTTGATTCCACAATTTGATTTTCTATTTTGTAACCATAAGATCTATTTCTAACTGGTTGTTTTTTTAATTTGTATTCTCCCATTATCTTTTTTAACCTTCAATCTGCTAAGGTACCAATTTGGCACCAAATAAATTAATAGCAATTTGGTATTGGTTATGAGTATAGGCAGCTGGGAGAAGGTTAAAGTCACACCCCAGAATAATTAAGTCACACACAACCTCCTGGTATGTTCACCTTTACACTCTTAGATCCCCTGCAGTCACTCATAACATACAGCAGTTTAACAAGTTCTGAACTTGTGTTCAGACAGTACGTTAGCAGAACACACTGTGTGTCTGTGTCTGTATATGAAACTTAATGTACTGTGCAAAGCGCTTTGGAAGAATGTCTCATTTGAGGTCGTATTCAAGTATTCAAGAATAACATCCCGTCTATAGTTTTCAAATGTTCCATTGGAATTGATATCGTCTACGCTGGTCCGAACATGCCATGAAAATGGGTGAAAATTAGGGTTTCATGCAATTGCGGTACGTTCTGTCGATGTGCTCACTCAGACGAATTAAAACCACCGCTTGCTCACACGAGAATGGCTTAGTTTCATGATGCAAGAGTCAAGTGTTCGTTCACTGTTTAATAAACAAGACAACATAGTAGTCTTTATCTTGCAACAAGGAATTGTTAGAACACATTGGAACATGTAACACTCTTTAGGATCAGAAGTACATATTATTAGCTGTCAGTATTAACCAGATGCTACGCACAGTACAGATCTCGATTAGCTCCCTTCCCACACATTTTAAACATGATTTTATCTCATCTATTTCTGTTGCAAAATTTGTGTAAACCGTCTTTAAATCCCAATTGAAATCCATGTAACAGCAATGTAACATGTGCTTGAAACTCATGCAAAAGCCATGTAAACTGTGCACTAATTAGCTGCAACCGCATGTGGCTATCAATCATGCATATTAACCATACGCAATTACACAAACATCTACATGTAGTTGCATTTTATACTAGAAATGAAAGCAATTGAAACAGTGCACAGCTTTTGCACTCCTTCTAATAAGGAGATGTGGGGCTTTTGACCCCGTTTTGCATGGCTTTTGATCGCTATTTGCAACAATGCAGATGGTAAAGTTATTCGAAATCTGTACTGTATAGAAAAGGGCCATGAAGCACCCACCTGTCAAAACTTGGTTATGACATTCTTTCAAATACTTATTATGTACTGTGAAATATGTAACAATAGTGGGCAGCCACTATTACTGGGCATGTCTAAATGTAACACCAATACATTTATATAGCTAGGAAACATATTGGGAATCTGGGAAACATAAAACCAGCTAAATGTACAAATTCTGCAACATTTTTAACAGTAAAGAACATTTCTCCTCAGGGATAGAAGATTCAGGGAAAATAACATTTGTCACAAATGATCATTATCTATCTATCTATCTAGTATCTATCTCCTAATACTAGTAGCTTCTGTATGACATACAGACTGAAACAGGGACAGATATGTATATTGCAAGATAGAAGCTGAAACAACATTATATACAAAATTAATGTATGTAAATAAAATATAATAACTAAGGAGTACTGACTTGGCCGGACTTTTAGTGGCCTATTAGACAAAATGTTACTAAGGCCTAGGAAAAAAATACAGTGTTTCCGGTTTCCTGACAGACCCTAGCAAAAACCCGTCAACCCAAACTTTTTTGGTTGACAGCTGGCAAGTTCATAAAGTTTTGGATATGATATCTGAGTTACAAACCTTTTGAAAAAGTTACATTACTTCAAGGACTTTCAGAAATTTTTTTGAATACATCAGTCCCTTCCCAACAAGCAAACGGAAGGGATCCCTGATCTGATGCAGTTCAGTTTTACATTGTTAAACTGTATTTGTTAAACTGCATCATTTTATCTTAAATCTAAATTTATTAAAACAATGGTCAGGAGAGAATCCCTACCTACTGACTCTATTTTTTTCAGGACTGAAACCAGAGACACAATTTTTTTTCCTAGGCCTATTAAGTTAAACCATGGAGGTAGAACTCATAGCTAACGCTAAAGCTACATCTGCAGTTCCCCTGTCTCTCAGGAGGTGGCGTTTGGTGATGGGACAGGGAGAACACCAAAGTATGAGTTGGCCTGGACCACGGCTTCTGGACTGATGTTGTATACAGGGTGGGTGGCACGCTGTAAAGGGAAACAAACAGGCTGTCACATGCAAACATATAAAAGGTAAATCCTTACATATAATGCAAATAGGACCTTAAAAGAGACATTCTACATGTATATCAAAGTGACAAACCGTAGAAAGAAAACATTTCAGTACTGGGCAATCTACAAATTACCACGACACATCAAAAAGCTTTCCAGTACATCCAACTTTCAAAAAGCCATCCACCAACAGTTCATATAATTTGAGTTCTGTGACTAGTATGTAGCGCATTTTCCTTTCATTTGTAGATTAGGCCACACCAATTTAATTTGTTGGTTCTCGGATTCGCCTCTTCATTTTTTTCTGATTTGCAAAAAAAAAAATTTGATTCTGGTCCTGAATCAACTGAAAAATGCTCATGTTTTGCCCCCAATAGTTGAGGAAATTCCTTTTCTTCCTAGTTGTTACAGTTTTCCCATCTATCATTGCAGTGGTTTGATTAAAAGTTCAAAATTCAATGTTTAAATTTTAACCCAGCCTTTTGTGTTGACTTCATGGCTCATTCCATAGCATTTAAGCCTATAATAGGATGCCTAGACCTGTTTTTATTTTTATTTTTTTTCGCCCTGTCGCTTCGTATTTTTTCTGAAAAATCCGAGAACCAACAAATTAAATTGGTGTGGCCTTAAGTAAATTTCTTTTTGTGCCAAATGTGTGTTTTTTACCATGTTATCTGTTGTATGTTTTTATCTTTGAATTTGTATGAACCTGGAGGACTAGCTTTTTTGGCTAAAGGGAATCGAAATAAAGAGAAAGAGAGTAACCTGCACATTACAGTACAGGTTTTGCATAGGCACAGGCACAGTGTGTTCTGCCAATATGCTGAAGATGTTTATTATAGTAATTATATACTGAGTTGTAGACTGTAACATACTATACTGTATCTCACCAGTTCATTGCGAGCAGGACCCAGGACATGACTATGGTTGTATTTCCCTCCTATGAAGTGTTGAGCTATAGACAGGCCACTCAGGCAGTAACATGTGTGGTAGAAGTCCCTGGCCCTGGGGGGGGGGGGAGAAGGTTTAAATAATGAGCAACTGTAAACCATAGTATTGGTCAGCAAATGTCATAAATTTTAGTTAATCAATACATTTCTATGACATCAAGTTAATGTGATATGAGACAAGATGACCTGAGATACAAAAGGATGTTTTTTATCCATTATTGCTGAATTTTTGTTCCCCACTAACTTCCATAAGGCAACAGACAACATGTACATGTATCAGGAAATTGAAGACAGGAAATGAGATAACCCTTTCTGGGATCTTTGAACTAACTTCCTGTCACTGCTCCCTATGTGCCCATAGAAAAAATATGGAAACATAGGCAAACACACAAACAGATACATGTACACCAAAAACAAAACCTTCATGCAATATTCCAGTAATAGTTGTGTCAGTAAATTATTGATCAATACTCCCAAGGAAACCATTGCCAGTGCGTGAACTCACTTGCCAGGCTTGTCTATGAGTCCCCCTGAGATAAACTGGCAGCAGATAAGGACGTACTCCTGTAAGGCACCTTGATGGAACATCCAGGATTCTTTACTGAGGGCTTCATCACCTGCAGATAGATCATAAAGACACACAAACATCAGGTATTCATACTGTCATCATACTTGAATTGCTAGCCTGGTTACTCGGCAGCTAAAATATTATATTTACCAACCAGGCTATGTGATTACCACCACATGAGAGTCTGCATGCCCTTTTTCGTTAACCGTTATGGGCTATTTTAGTTTACCGTAAATCGTTGCCGGCCCGCTCTAATTCAACGTTAAGCGTTATCAGTATATTCCTCGTGAAGCGTTATTGGTCATTTTAATTCAACGTAAAACGTTATTTGTCATCCTAAATTCAGCGTTAAGCGTTAATGAATAATTCTTCGTTACGCCTAATTTTGCCTTTCAAAGTGCAGGAAAATGCGTCATTGAAGGTTCAAAATACAAAATTTCCCGGGGGAGAATGCCCCCGGACCCCCCTACGTTGCTCGCGCCTTTGGCGCTCGACTCGACTCACGAATCCGTCAACCTTTTACAGGCAAATTAACAAAAATCTTGAGTAAAATATGAAAACATCAGAAGGACCGACAAACACTCTCAACACCATGATTTGCCTCTCAAAAATGGGAGAAATTGCGTTTTTGAAGGCTTAAAAATCCTAAATTTCCCGTCGGGGGGCATTCCCCCGGACCCCCCTAGATTACGACGTTCCTCTCTCAAAATCCACCGGGCAGACTGAAAAAATGCAAGCTGGCCGACGTCGACTCGGACTCCCCTGTATTTGTGGACGCACTCGGGGACCAGGGCAGGTGGGGAACACAGGGAACACATACCTTTAATGCGTGCTTCATCACATGTAAGATATACGTAATTTTGTCAGTGATCACCTTTTCTCACAAAGCGAGATACCAAATCCAGTGCAGTTCGAAAAAAAAGCCTGTCATTTTACCGTTAAGCGTTGCCGACCGTCCTGAATTTACCGTTAAGCGTTATCGGCCCTGCTGAATTCACCGTTAACCGTTGCCAGGACCCCCCCATGCAGACCCTCCCACATGTAGCGTTTTGTCTTTGCTTATTCTTATATTCTGCTGTCAATAAAGAAAAAAACACCAACACCATTCTAAGAATGCTCAGGTAATACGCAGGAAGAAGTCAGGTAAGTCAAGTAAATTTAAAATTTGGTTACTAATAGTGCTTATCATTACAAATGTACTAAGTCTGGTAGTAACAAAAGCTGGTCTGGCTTTAAGAGGTGAGTGTCTGATTCCACAACAGTTACTGTAGTATCAGACACCTGTCAGTGACCAAACAGCCAACGAAAACCATGAAAAATCCTGGTTTTGCTCGCAGGCGCAGTACGTTTTGCCAATGTGTTGCCTGTTACCCACCCTCCATCATGAGGACCCTGTGTAGCAGTGGGAGGGTCCCGCCCTGCCAGAAGGAGTAGCAGCCATCGACTAGCTTGTTGGTCCGGCCCTGGAACAGACACATGGAGGAACAACGTTTCTGATACTGCAAACATTTTATATCATACAGTCTACAACAGATAAGAGTTAAATTAGAAAAAATGTAATATTTGCATGCAAATACATAATTTTTACCTTCACATGGTGACATAATCTAGCCTAGCAAACTACTGCTCGCTTAAACACGTGGGTGTCACCAGCCCCTCCAAGTTTGTCCTACAATGTGCTGTTCACTCCCTGAAACTTTGTGAACCATGATTAAGGTAAAGTCTACCTACCTGGAAACCACCTTCTAATCTCATTTGTCTGTTGACAGTCCATCTCTGCAGGCATATGAAGAAAATGGGAAAAGTACAGTTACTGTAACTGTAAACGGAAAATTCTAACTTCTGCAGTAAATTGGGAATGAAGGTTTAAATCATAGTGATTTGTACTACTGTTAGTGATACTTTTCCATTGGACACACAATATTGTTTATTTGTGGTTACCGTATCATGAAGGTGAAAATAAAACCACAGTGATCATTATTTTCAAGACTTACAATGAATAAGTCTTTGAGTATCACATTAAGACTTTAAGTGTCACTACAGTGTAAGACTCTTTGTATCAGCTGAAAAAAGGCATTTTACTATGCATGAGCTACAGCAGGAAAGGAAATTCAATATCAAATGTGTGTGTACATTGTGTTAGTAAGTTGCAATTGGTTATAATAAATAAATGTTCAAGATTTGTAGTTTTAGGTCTATAATACAAGGGTGAGTGCAATTATTGTTAATGTATCAACATTTCAATCCTTCAACTGTTGAAGACCATACCAATAAGCTCTTGGTGTCTATGAGTCTCTCCCTGCCCAGCATGACCAAAGCTGCGTACCCACAGAACGTGTAACCACCGTGTGCCTCCATCTCTGGTACCCCGGCTATACCACCTTCATAGGTCTGACATCTACAACAACAACAATAACAACAACGTCAACATCAGAATGTGTAACCACCGTGTGCCTCCATCTCTGGTACCCCGGCTATACCACCTTCATAGGTCTGACATCTACAACAACAACAACAACAACAACAATAACATCAACAAAATCAGAGATTTCAGACTTCCATGAGGTGTTTTGGGTTTTTGTGAAATGTATTGGAACTATTTTGTATGATGATGGGGAAATATTCACTTGAATGACGTCATACTAGTAGTCTAAGTCTAAGAATCATACCACAATCATCCCACAGCCAGGCCATTTCAACTGAAACCCAATCTCTGTCCACTCACTTCCAATTGATGCTGGTGAGGACGAAATGCCTTTTCACTTTGGAAAAGGCACTTTACACGACTTTCCTCACTTCACTTACTGACAGGTATGAATGAGTACTAATATCTTGGGGACATCCTTGGACGGGATGTTAAATGGAGGTCCCTTACAATAGTGTTAGTTGGCAGGCTCAGCTGTATCCTCAGCCTAGCCAATAAACAAACAAACAAACAGAAAGGTGAGAAAGATGAATTGTTGTTAAACCTACCTGACTATCCACTCAGGTGTTCCCTCAAACATCTCAGGTGTGATGATGTTAGTTAAGGTGGCGGCAGAGGCTGCACAGTACGCACCCCTGTACACATGATAGAACAGTCAGGGAGACTGGATTATTACTCAACTTACACTTAAACTTACAACTACATTAAAGGCTGCACAGTACATACCACAGGACAACAGTCAGGGAACTTACAAATACATGTACATTACAGGCAAGTCTAAACTAAACACATCTTCACAGTAAATATGAAAGATCAAAAAAGCAAAATGTTTTATCATGAGAAAGACATAACAATCATTTTTAAATTCTTCTTGCCCAAAAGGTCACATTTTTGCTGTAATAGCCTATTAGTAATAAATACAGCATAAGTAGATGTTGGCTCTAAAGGCCTTTAACCTTCAGCACACTATTATTGGTTCTTGCATATAGGCAGCGGGGAGAGGGTTAAATGATTGTCTTCTCCAAGCTGATTTCTTTAATTTCTTCACTGAAAACTTGATATATAATATAAATTGAACTGAATGACCTTGAATGCATGATGAGTTGTATTACTGACTCAGAGATATTGTACTAATTCTAACATTGTGGAGCCCAACAAAGTGATAAGAGCAGAACTGTTAGGGTTTATGGAAAAAGGAGTCCAGTCCGATTGGCGGAAAAAGCAGTCCAGTCCGATTTTGGTTTCTACTAAATTTTACGAAAGACCATAGGCACAATTTTTTCTTGTGTGTGTACTTCTAGTTTCTATGGGTACTTCGCGTTTCTATGACTACTTAGAGTTTCTATGGGTACTTAGAGTTTCTATGACTATTTAGAGTTTGTATGGGAACTTGAATTAGCATATATGACTCACTATATGCAGCCTTGGGTGAGGAATAGCGGACAACTGATTTACACCTCTTGGGACCACCGAAAAGTAGTTTCTATACATACAGGTCACCTATCCACAATAGACAAAAGTTAATTATTAAGGGATTCTTTCTTACAATTGTACTTCCGGTACTTACATGCTTGTCGGTGTAATGCAAAGTCTGCCATACGTGGCTGTAGCAGGGGCCGGCTGGATGTTGGGCAGCTGGCAACCGTAAAGCGATTTAATCAGGCTACTTGCAAGCAGGATCGGCCCTGGAAATCTCGTCAGTTGACCGCTTCATCTTTTGACTAATTATTGTTATATGTAAGTAATAATCTGGAGGCATGATGATGATGATATGTAAGTTACAAACTGTAAGTTCCCATGTAAACTCTAAGTACTCATAGAAACTCTAAGTTTCCATACAAACTCTAAGTACTCATAGAAACTCTAAGTACCCATAGAAACTCTAAGTACTCATAGAAACTCGAAGTACCCATAGAAACTAGAAGTACACACCCAAGAAAAAATTGTGCCTATGGTCTTTCGTAAAATTTAGTAGAAACCACCGGACTGCTTTTTCCACCCCAAAATCGGACTGGACTGCTTTTTCCGCCAATCGGACTGGACTCCTTTTTCCCTAAACCCGAACTGTTACAGTAGGTTCTGACAGACCCTCCAGCCTACAATGTACCTGACATCCTCCTCCCCTCCTTCATGCATGATCCATGCACCGTCTGGTCTCTTGGTGCGCAGGAGGAACCTCTGCAGTTTGGGTCTGCAATAGGAGAATACAATTACAATTATATTTTATACAATTAGTGGATCAGGGTTAACAGGTGTAACACATGAGTGGTACAACTGCATTGTACATGGGAGAGGGTCATTACTATGTAAAATTGGACGAGACTGCCTCCAACAGGTGCCTGCTTGACCAGGTTTGACAGTACATGACTTGTATACTAGTATAAGCTATAAAAGATTCATGAAAATCCAACAGTACTGATGTTTTCTAGCTTCTTTGCTTGAACTACCAGTAGTACATGTAGGGCAGTTATCATATCGTGGACAAGGAAGCTCAATAAACCATAGGTATTGCAAGGAAATCCTCTTTAATCCACAATATTGCGAACAAAATCTTATTCTCGAAAAACAAATCATTCCTTGATAATTGATTCCATTCGCGTTGTCATCACTATTAATCTACCTGTGGTCTATGGGGCAAACCTGTATTTTTAGACTTGTAGTTTGGTTGTAGGGTCAAAGGTTGTGGTCTTCTGTTCAATTTTCCAATTATCATATTAAACAGAATGTCCCACCTCTATTGCATCAGACCAAATAAAACTTTGATGACTTTTTTGCAACAAAAGAAAACTACATGTTGGCAACCATTAATATCGAGAATCACAATCATGGAGAAGAAAGAAAAAAATGAGATTGAAGAATTATAATATATGATAACAACTCCTCACATAAACATTTAATGTTTATGTGAGGAGTTGTTATTATATAATATTATAATTCTTCAATCTCATGACAAAAGGTTGATCGATTTCAGTGATAATCAACAAAGTGTGAAATCATTTAATATGGCTGCCAGTTAATATAGAATGCGAATAACTAAACTCATATGTATTTGCCTGTAGGCACCACCTATTTTTTTTATACGCCAGGTCCTTAAGGCTTAAACAATAATTTATTAAATGCTATATGCTCAAAAGACTTTGATAGACAAAAAGATTTCAGATCTGTAAAAAAACCAACAGTTGCTACTTTATCTGAGTAACTGTTCATTTTGAGTACATGTGAGTGATTTAGTCGAAACTGTCAGTAACAAAGCAATGGAAACATTTGGAAAGTCCTGGGTATTGGTAGCTATTGCTTCACAAATATCACAACATCCTGGTCCATACCAGTGATTGTTTACTGCCGAAACCGGATGCTGCAGGTATTCACAATGACGTCAGGTCATAAGGGATCCGGGATCTCTGAAATCCCCCCTTCACACCTCGGGACTTACCAGTCTTCCTGAACAGTTATTAAGACAATGTGACAAACCAAGGGTTGGCAGACAGCAGTGGGGAAACAGGCAGACAAGATAACATGGAAATCTATCTGTTCTGTGTTCTTCCTCCGTCTTTGGAATATTCTGTACCCAGGGTTATGTAGCGGAAGTTAAGTGTTGTATTTTAGAATCAGAAATCTAGGATAGGACCTAACACTGATATTGACTAATCACAGCATGGCCAGCGTTGCAGAAAAACTTGGACGGCTCTTGGACAGCTCACAGGGAAGGGAAAAGGTGAGTTTCAACTTTGGACATTGTATGATTGCCACTCTAACTAGTCTAAGGACTAGGGTCAGTTCTGTGCATGTTTGGGTAGTGCTTGTTTCTTTATTTGGCGATCAACTAGTTTTACTGGTGGCAGAGTTTTGATTATTAGTTGCACCTCTAGCACCCTGGAAGCTGTGTCATGCTACGTTAACACCAGGTGTTAAATAAATACAACTGTCCTTCCTTGTCAGGCTCTCAAAAGGCTCTTCCCTAGTATAGGCCTCAATAAAGGCCCCCTTTACTCTCACAGAAATGGAAATGCACATGCAGACATCATATATACCACTAGTTAATGAGACAATAATAGAATGATTGAGACAATTAGCCAGTGTTTTGCCATTCTTTGCTGTCTATGAAATGACGGAATGTGGAAGTCAAAATTAATGTCCCACTTGTAGGTGGTAGGAGCATACTGAGGACAATACCAGTACCTGGCAATGTTGCATCTAGAAGACTAAGAGGAACGGTGTATGCACTGTACCTGTAATGGTTGTATTATATGAGAGTCTTTCTGTGCATAATGCAGTATCCTTGACGCTTTACTTTTCGTTACAGCATCATGTACATTTATCAAGAAGACACCAAAAATTAACCAAAGTCTGTGGGGAAAACTGGAGTCTTATGTCAACACTCTAAACCAACATGCAGGCACCGAGGTCACCGAATGGGTTAGAAGGGTAAGTATGTGCTATAGATCCTCGATACAACTAATAGTAAATAATAAATTAACATCTATTAAAACTATTGCAGGGCTCAAAAATATTTTTTCAGCATGCCTGTACTGGTGCAGGTAACATTGAAAATTACCTGCAATTTTACCTGCAGGACCTTGATCAAGAGAATCTCATAATGCCAATTACATCTCCGTATGTTAAATGTTGGTGTATCAATAAGTGTTATTCTTAGCTTGCATTGGTCTGAATTGTGGCTTCGGCTGTCCTGCATTTTGATTGGTATGTCTTAGGACATGATGTTAAGTTTTGTGGTTGATGATGGCAGCTATAACAATTGGTATTTCACAGATGGATCTAAAAGACAACAGGATGACCGATAACACTGAAGCTAAGGTCACTTCTTCCACCATACCTCAAGGTCATGACCTTCTTACTGCAGATATATCCAGGTTAATAACATCTGATTTCAATTGACAAGATTTTTATGTCACAGGTGAAGCTACAGATAAATTTGTGTTAATTTCTTTCCCCAGTGCCTTCAAATGAAAAATTGTGTGAAATTGTAATTTGAAAGCACTTGGCCAGATGCTTTGATGTGCGTATGTGAATGGTGGAACAAACGAACCCATGAATGGTTCAGTGTTTGACATTAACAAATTTTAACAATAACAATCCCATACTTAAATAGGATATCAGTGAATTAATGTTTATAATATAATATTTTGTCATCATTAATTCATTGATATCTATATAAAATATAAAGTGACAACAAGTTCACAGACACACAAGATGACGGCTACAAAAAAGGCTGCCAAAAGTTAGATACAGGATTGTACCATTATGTCAATGATTTACTTTGATCCTGATGTGCCTTCAAGTTGGCAGTTGAAACATCTGATCCGACTGCTTTGACACATGCTCATTAGAGCTATGTTTCTGGAAAATACCCAGTCTTGTGTCCTTTCCCCAGACAGTACAATGCACGCCTGCATGCAGAAAGGTGAGGAGGCTGTACAGAGGGGAGACCTGGACTCAGCAGAGAAGCACTTTGCAGCAGCACTCAGGCTAGTACATGTCAGAGGTAGGTTAAAAACATTGATATGCACAATTTTACTAGTCTATATCTTGTAAATATAAGAACTATTAAAACTTAAAGTATACAATTTGTAGATTTGTAGATTTGCAAAGTTAACAAAGAAATTTCTTCTCCAAAGTTCAAGATAGAAAAGGTCCAAGGGTATGGCAATAAGGATATGGCAATGAGCTTTCTATGAGTTTCTAACTACGTTTAAAAAGTTGTACATGTATGATTGTACAAAAACTGAACAAATCTTTCCTTCAGATCCCAAAGCTCTACAGTATGCGAAAGAAGTTTCACCCCTGCACAAGTTGGGTGATGTCTACTGCAGGCGAGGCTGTCAAACAGGAGACGGGGGAGACTTTGTCAAGGCGGCAGCACTCTACCAAGCAGCAGTGGCCAGGTCAAAGGTCTACTGTAACGATACCCTTAAAAATGCAATTGAAGAAGCAGAACTGTTATTTCTACAATATGCCTTAAGGATACATGTACATCGTATCAATCCAAACAAGACAGAAAAACACAAGAAGCAGCTAGTAAAATTTCGTGAAGTTATCAAACTGGAACTAGAATCCCTTGACAAGGGAGAGTTCTCCTTCATAGATGAAGATGATGATGATGAGAGGAAGAAGGACCCGTTAGTAGAGATGATGACCGAAGTCCTCCCAGAGTTAGTACCACTTCATGTGGAGTTGGAAACATATTTCAGGAGGCAGAAAGTGCAAGAAATGGAAGCCAAGCAAGTTGATGCTGTCAGACAGTTGTTTGAGAAAATTGCAAAAGAAAGGAAGGAATTCATTGGGCAGCTTGTGGACGAGTGTATTGAAGTCATAGGCCCCCCTCCCTGTAAGTACGCCCTGATAGGTTTGGGGTCACAGGCCACAGGGCTGGTAACTCCGTACTCAGATCTGGAGTTTGTCATCTTGATAGAGGAGGAAAATGAAACAAATGTGGCATATTTCCATCGACTGACCCTCTACCTGCACCTCAAGGTGGTCAACCTGGGAGAAACAATCCTCCCAGCCATGGGGATAACAAGTCTGAATGACTTCTACTCAGACGACCCACTGGACAACTGGTTCTATGACTCTGTTACACCACGTGGGTTTGCCTTCGACGGCTCCATGCCAAAGGCAAGCAAGACTCCACTGGGCAGGGGTAAGACAGCTAAACTTATCCACACACCAAGTGAGATGATCAGAATCATGCAAGATGACCTGAATGTCCACATAAAGAAAGGCTACCATCTTGCCAGCATATTGGGAAATGTGTGTTTGATCACAGGAGACCAGGACTTGGTCGATGTGTACTCTAGTCAGCAACTCAGAACTCAGCAACTCCATAGTTGTAAAGGGGCAGTATCAGGTTCTGTTTTACAGGCATTGAGCATAATGGAGGAAGATACAAATGCTAAAATGTTTACATCTAAAGCTCCAACATCTAGGTTGCTAGATGTAAAGAAAGACATGTATCGATTTTCGACCCTTGCAGTGTCATGTTGGGCGCTACTCTGTGGTATACAACCCACCACAATATGGGAGACCATTCAAAACATGAACATGAACGGAGTCATCAACAGTGAGAATACACATCACTTGATGGTGCTGGTCAGCATCTCAGCAGAACTGAGGCTGCGGACATACATGAACAACCGTGGACAGGTGGAGAACATGTCAGCCTTATCGTCCATG